TATATGCAGGGGAATAATGTTTTATTTAAAGTTGTTTCCACTGAAAAAAATATTTTGCTGTTTATATAAGTTGAATAATTGTCATAGGTGGATTTTTAAAAAAAATAACTTTATTGATATATAATTCATAAACCATAAAATTCACCCTTTCAAAGTGTACAATTCAGTGGTTTTTAGTATATTCACAGAGTTGTGGAGCTATCACTACTACCTAATTTTAGAATATTTTCATCACTCCAGAAAGAAACTCTGTGCCCATTTTCATTCACTCCCTCTCTCTCTTCCCCCAGCTCCTGGCAACCACTAATCCATTAATACTTTGTTTCTGTGCATTTGCCTGTTCATTTAGGTGTCATCATGTAATACGTGACCTTGCGCCTGGTATAATGTTTCCATGGTTCATCCATGTTGTAGCTTTTGCTTCATTGTTTTTTATGGTCAAGTAACACTCCCTTGCATGGGTATACTACATTTTGTTTAGCCGTTTATCAATTTGGATTGTTCCTACTTTTTGACTATTATAAATAATGCTGCTATAAACATTTGTGTACAAGTTTTATGTAAACATATATTTTTAATTCTTTTGGGTGTATAACTAGTAGTGGATAACTAGTGGGTGTATAACTAGTAGTGGATAGGTATGTTTTAAAAATACATAGGAAAATATTTTCTTGAATTTTACAGTGCATTATGTAGAAGGAGGAACTTTTATTCTAAGAATTGTTGGTACACCTAATTTAAATTTTTGAAAGGTCAAGAAAAATTGACTAAACCATTTATATAGTTTTAGTCGAATAATCTTTATAGTTTATTAATTAGGGGAAAAAAGCCATGATTCTTTGTGCTGGTTCCCCTGAAAAATGATTAGTAAAAGGTGAAAGATTTGTTCCTTCTAAAGAGAGCATGCCTCTGTATAATGATTAGAAGAAAAAAGTTCTCACTTGGTATTTTATAGTTTTAAATATAAATACTAGATAAAACTTGGCTAATTGGAAAGTTTTAAAATCATAAGACACTATATTATAATTAGGGAGGCATTTATTAAAACTTTTGCTGCCTTCTTTATTTTGAAGCAGTTTAGAGTAGTGGTTCTGAGCATAGACTTTGGGGTCAATCATACCAGTGTTAAATGCTGGCTGTGGTATTTATTAGTTCAGTGACCTTGGACCAGTTTGTTTAACCTCTCTCATCCTTGTTTCCCTAATCTGCAAATTGAAGAATAGTACCTATCTTACAAAGATGGCATGAGAATTGAGAATGTGTAAAGTGTGTATCATGTGTCTAATAATAAGCACTGATAAATGGTATAGGGAATGTTTTTTTCTTCCTAGTGCAGTGAATTTTCATTTAGGTTTTTTTTCTTTTTTCATTTAGGTTTATGAGTAGTATCTTTCAAACATTTTGGACCATGTACCCCACTAAGAAACACCGTTTTCTTCTTCCTGATCATTTTCTAAACAAAACAAAATGATCCAGAAAAAGAAAGACCTTTTACAAGGTGACCCAGTTCTTACACACACATATACCCACACACATATGTATTATATATATGAAGTCAAACTGTCAGGAGAAAATACCATGTGCAGTGTACTGTTTTGTTTTTTTACAGCAGTTTTAGATATGCAGAAAGTACAGAGTCCCACATACATTCCACCACCACCACCCCCAGCCCACTACAGTTCCTCCTATTATTAGCACCTTGCATCAGTATGGTATATTTGTTATAATCGATGGACCATTATTGATAGGTTTTTGTTGAGTAAAGTCCATGGTTTACATTAAGATTTATGCTTTGTGTTGTATAATTTTGTGGGTTTGAGCAAATGTATAATGATGTATATGTACCATGCTAGTATCACACAGGATAGTTTCACTGCCCTAAAAATCCCCTGTGCTTCACCTGTTCAACTCTCCTTCCCTTCCTTGCCAATGGCAGCCATTGATCCTTTACTGTCTCCATTGTTTTGCTTTTCCAGAATCTCTCTATATGGTATACATAGCATACTGTACATAGCATACAGTGTGTAGCCTTTTCAGACTAGTTTCTTTCAGTTATTGCTAACTGCATTTAAGGTTGTTCTATGTCTTTATGTGGCTTGATAGCTCATTTTTTAATTGTTGAATAATATCTCATTGTCTAGGTGTACCACAGTTTGTTTATTCCTCTACTGAAGGACATCTTGATATGTCCAAGTTTTAGCATTATGAACAAAGCTGCCATAAACATTCATGTGCAGGTTTTTGTCTGGATGTAAGTATTCAGTTCCTTTAAGTAAATGCCAAGGAGCTCAATTGCTGGATCATATGGTAACATATGTTTAGTTTTGTAAGAAACTGCCAAACTGTCTTCCAAAGTGGCTGTACTATTTTACATTCCCACGAGCAAGTTCCTGTTGCTCCACATCCTCATCAGTGTTTGGTATTGTCAGTATTTTGGATTCTGGCCATTGTGATAGCTGTGTAGTAGTATGTCATTTTAATTTGCAATTCCCTAATGACCAAAGATATTGAACATCTTTTCATGTACCTATTTACCATCCGCATGTCATCTTTGGTGAGTTGTCTGTTCAGATCATTTGCTCATTTGAAAAATTGGGATTTTCTTCTTATTACTGAGTTTTAAGAGTTCTTGGTGTATTTAGGATACATGTCCTTTATCGAATATATATTTTGGAAATATTTTCTCCCTGTCTGTGGCTTGTCTTTTCATTCTCTTAATACTATTTTATATTGTTCTGCTCTATACCATTAAAAAACAAAACTTGTTCTGAAGCACTAATTGATTTCACAACCCACTAGTAGGTCATAGCCTGTGGTTTGAAAGTCAGTGTTTGTTCTGCTTCCATAATATTCACATGAACAACATCAGTGTAAAGCAACCATCATTTCAGGCAGTGATTTCCAACATTGATGGACAGTGGTGTCAAAATCGATACTGCCGTTTTTTCTATTCTAGAGTATTCTCTAAGTTTCAGTAGGTAGATTAAATCTGGGCAGCTTTATCACCTCTGTATCCTGTAGTCATGGCACATCTAGGCATTATGAAAAGCTTCATGAATTTTACATTTCTACATGTTCCCTCAAAATGCATATGCTTTTAAATACTGAAGGGTCTAAGTAAATAAAGAGAAGTTAAGGTGTCTGTTTTGTATTCCCAGGAGTAATGTATAGCCAGATCTCACCAGTTCAAATTGCTGAGAGGGAATTTTTATATGATGGAATATATTTTTTTTAAATGTTAAATTATTAAAGCAGGTAAAACAGTGATAAACTAAACTGAACTGAGATAGTTATTGAAAATCTAATTTAATGGCTATTTAATAACTTTGAGTAGATGCTACTCAAATTTTTAAATATATCTTTTTTTTTTTTAAACCCGAAGCCAGCAGATTAAATATATCTGTCCACTCAAGGGTTATATATGTATCTGTCTCTACAGTCTATTTCTCATTCATTTAGCAAAAAATTTTCATTGCTCTCCTAAGATAAATTCTATTTATTTTCCAAAATAGTACAAGTTCCAGTTATGGAAATTGAACTTTATATGATCTCACTAAACTATACCTTTATTTTCTTTGGAATTCTTTTTCCCACAAATTTGCAGCAGGGGGAAACTTACCCCATTACCCTGCAGTGCCACCTTGTGGAAAGAGGGAAGATTTTAGCAAAGGACATCTGTTGAATTCTGCCAAATACCACATACGTGTTCAAGGCTCCTGACTTTCACACTAACAGTTTTTCAAGATTATTTTTCTTCTATCTGATGTGGACTTAGTGATGAGAGGGGTAAAGTGTTGGCTTTTTTTTCCATAGAGACCTTGAGGATAAGAAGACAGGCAAGTACCTACCCGTCATGATTCAAAAAACCTATAAAAAGACATTTTATACATAATTGGGGGAGTTATTGAGTGCCTCCTATGTGCACTGCTTCAGGCATTACTGATAACAGCAGTGAACCTAACCCAGTCTCTTGCTCTCAGAGAGCTTATGTTCTAGTGTCAGGAGACAGAGCATAAACAAATAAATATGTAACATAGATAAGTGTTAAACAGAAAAATAAAGCAGGATAGGAGGGCAGACAGTGATATATCAGTGCTATTTTAGATAGATTGGTTAGGGAAATCAAACTATGAGATGCCTTAGTAGGCAAAGGAGTAAGGAATAAGGAACAAAAAAAGACTTTGAAGAACTGAGGGAAACAGGGCACTCTACTGGTTAGTAGTGAACTGTAGGAATAGCACTTAGTGGAGGTACTAAAAAATTTTTTCTTTACTAATTTGAAATTTTGATTTATAAAGCATGATCTGGGAAACTATTAGATCTTGAAAAGCATAGGCTATGAAGTCATTCTGGAAAATATTTACCATTGCAATTGTAAAATAGTCCATAAATAATAAATATATATTCTAGTCATTTCTGGTAAAACTGTTATAGCTTTAGTTTTGGACTTGTTTGATCGTGATCCAGAAATTAACTATTTTATTCCAAATGTTATAGATTCTGGGCTATTTAGTATGCAAAAGCTCCTAGTTTTTGATAAATTCTTTTTATGGTTATTGAGCAGAGATTACTGTTGTTTAATTTCTTTTTTTAGAAAAATTTTCTTAGAAATTTGTTTATGGAAGAGGGATAATGCTTAATTTATTTTTATTTTTTAGAGATGAGTGTCTCCCTATCTTTCCCAGGCTGGTTTTGTTTTGTTTTGTTGAGACAGTATCGCTCTGTTGTCTGGGCTAGAGTGCTGTGGCATCAGCCTTCCTCACAGCAACCTGGGCTCAAGTGATCCTCCTGCCACAGCCTCCCTAGTGGCTGGGACTACAGGTGTTCACCATGCCCGACTAATTTTTTGTTTCTATTTTTAGTTGCCTGGCTAATTTTTTCTATTTTTAGTAGAGACGGGGGTCTCACTCTTGCTCAGGCTAGTCTCAAACTTCTGAGCTCAGGCGATCCTCCTGCCTTTGCTTCCCAGAATGCTAGGATTACAGGCATGCCAGGCTGGTCTTAAACTCCTGGCTTCAAGTGATCTCCTGTCTCAGCTTCCCAGCTAGCTGGGACTATCGGTGTGCACCACTGAACCCAGCTAATGCTTATTTATTGAATAGACCAGATGTATTTTACTTCAATTATATGAATATTTATTTTCTCAATTCTAGGGTATGGCAGGGGTTCTGTGTCATTTCACTGGAAGAGCATAGAGTCTAGTAAGGGAAGGGAGATGTGGTAATGCTCATTGAAGTGATGTAATAAAGATATGTGTGAAGAGTTCCTGGATCACAAAGGAAGGAGCATGTAGCCTCCCTGGTGAGAGGAGGTGATAATGGGTGGTTTTGTAGAGATGGTAGCTATGAGCTGGGTTTTGAAGGGTAAATAAGAGTTTACAGGCAAACAGGAGGGGTACTTGAGGAGAGGGACAGCTGCCAGAGAGAACAGTATTGGAGCTGAGGGAGTGAGGTTCAGTGCTTGACGGGAGTAGGACCTGGAAGGCTAGAAGTTTGTAGTTTATCCTGTTTCTCAGTGTATTCTGTGGCAATCCAAGCCCCATGAGATTCTCTGGGGGGAAAAAAGTTAAGAGATTCACATGGACGTTACAACATTAGACTCTACGAAATACTTGGTAATGAAACCTGTTTTCAGTTTGTAAACCAGAGAAAATGTTTTGGGAAGCGCTATGGTTAGGCAGTGGGGAGCTCCTGAATATTTTAAGCAAGGGAAGGACTTGATTTATGTTTAGAAAATGAAATGGCAGCAGTGGAGGGGTAGGTTGGAGTGAGGGGAGATTAGTTCAGGAAGGAAGGAAACTAGTTCAGAACTATTATCACTTTTGGTTACATATAACGTGTAACCATATAACATGACCATCAATATAAAGATGTTTAATATCAAAATTCAGGGCACTTCTAAGAAAAAAAATTTAACAATGAACTAAAATTATGCTTAATTGACAGCAGAGATTTTAAGTGAGAGGAGGGTTTTGGGACAAATGCAGGTTTTGTTTCTGACCTTTAATCAAAGATTAAACAAATATTTTAATATGTTGTGATTAGAGAAAATCTTTGGTTTAAATTGTACTTCAGCAGTATTGTATTTTTTAAATCCTTTCCAATATGATGCCTTAAGATCTTAGATGAAAGTGTTGAGATTTTTTCCATAGAAAAGAAGGCCAAATAGGCCGGGTGCGGTGGCTCATGTCTATAAGCCTAGCACTCTGGGAGGCTCGAGGCGGGAAGATCGCTCAAGGTCAGGAGTTAGAAACTAGCCTGAGCAAGAGCGAAACCCCGTCTCTACTAAAATTAGAAAGAAATTAATGGCCAACTAAAAATATATAGAAAAAATTAGCCGAGCATGGTGGTGAATGCCTGTAGTCCCAGCTACGCATATAATGTCTATATTCTATATGTAATTTGGTCTATTTCTGGGACATGAATTTGTCCAATTGATCTGGCTTTGTAATTATCTGGTGGTGCTAGTTCTTTTCTAATACTCTTCTCATTTGGAATTTGCCTGACTTGTCTTACTTTTTTATTTTCTACATGAACTTTAGAATCGGCTTATCTATTTGCAGAAACTAATCCTGTAGGCATTTCAGGATGGAAGGTTTGGAGGGATCACTTTAAATCTACAGATTAATCTCTTTATGATAAGGAGTCTAACATACAGCTTTAATCTTTTCTCTTACAGATGATATTAACCGTTTTCTTGAGCAACAATGAGCAGATTTTAACAGAAGTTCCTATAACACCAGAAACAACCTGTCGAGATGTTGTAGAATTTTGCAAGGAACCTGGAGAAGGCAGCTGCCATTTAGCTGAAGTGTGGAGGGGAAATGGTATGTATTAGGTTCTGTAAAGATTACTAAGTAGATCCAATTTAATATTTATCAAATGGGAAATATTGCTTCCGATTCTTAGTTATCTGTGATAATATGGAATTGAGTAATTAAAATAAAAGCTATTATATTACATTGGGATAGAAGTTTACAAAATGCTACTTGTAAAAAACTCTGACTGTAGCCATTTGAGATAAGCAGCTAGATCCACCTCTTGCGTGAGGCCTTTCTTCTTGTTCCTAGACAATTAATTGTGTAGTATTGGTTGTTTGTCCTGTGAGATCTTACAGTATTTTGTCCAATACATGTTGAGTTGATTATCTTACTCTTTTTTATCCCTTCTGATAACTTCATGAAGGCAGAAACATTATTGTGTTCCTCTGTATATAAAACCCTTTATATAGTAGATCCTTCATAAATCTTTGTTCATTAAATTGAGAAGAGTAAAATACTGGCTCTTATATTGAAGGAATTTGTCAGCTAGCTGGGCAGAGATCAGAGGTAATAGTACTGAATACAGAAAATTCTGCAAAATAATTTGGATTTTAAAGAAGGGATTGAACTTAGATAGGATGGAGTATACTAAGTTAGAGACGCAATGTGAATAAAGGAAAAGAGAAGAAAACGAACAGTATGGTAGTAGGACCACTAAGGGACTGTCTTGAAAGAAAGTAAGGAGCTAGCAGCCACTAGAAGCCCACACAAGGCCTTCAGCACCAGTCAACGGGTGTAGCCTTTCCTTGGCATGCAGAAAGAAGGAGTTTGTATAGATTTTTAAATAAAGAATGGCATTCTGAGAATAATGCTTACAGGAAATCCATTTAGTAACTGTGTGGTGTGTATGGATCTGTGACGGATAGTAAAAGAATCAGTGGGATCATGTTGAGTTTGAGATAAAAATGAGATAAGTATCCAAATGGAAGTGTTTAAAGGCCCTTAGATATAATCAAGTCTTAAAGTTTCTTTAACAGCCTCATTGAGATATAATTCACATACCATACAATTCAGTCATTTAAAGTGTGAGATTCAGTGGTTTTAGTATATTCACAGAGTTGTGCCACCATCACCACAAACAATTCTAAAACATTTTTGTCACCCGAAAAAAGAAACCCTATACCCATTAGCAGTGACTCCTCATTTCCCTTAACCCTCTTTCCCCATCCCTAGATAACTACTAATCTTTCTGTCTCTATAGATTTGCCTATTGTAGACATTTCATTTAAATGGAATCATGCAATATGTAGTCCTTTTTTTTTTGAGATCTACACACATATACAGATTATATTTAAATTCATATAGAATATTTACATTTTTAAGTTATACTTTTGAAATTAGAAGATGAAGTACAGCTTAAGTTTTACAACAAAGAAAAGAAAAATATACAAGACAAAAACAGAGTTAACAATAAAAAATACAACTATCTGTTCTCGATATAATGTGGAAACTTTTTGTTAAAAAGCTACATCTTCTTTTTTTTTTTTTTTTATAAGACAACTGTAGAAGATGAAGAAAGCTACATCTTCTTAATCTGATTGTCCAGATCATTAAAATATGGATGATTCAGTGCCATCTTGCCAGAAATTCGTTTGGGGGGATCATAGACTAACATTTTCGAGAGCAAATCTAAACCATTTTCATCCAAGTTTTTGACATGGGATGCAAGGCTTCCTGGTTTCCATTTGGGAAATGTATTCTTATAGTCCTGTAAAGACTCCACGTCTGGCCACACTTCATTATTGGGTGTGCCCAAAGCTCTGAAAATCCTGAAGAGTTGATCGATTTCTGAATCCCCATGGAAAAGTGGTTTCTTAGTTGCTAATTCTGCAAATATGGTGCCTATACTCCAAATGTCAACTGCAGTCGAGTAACGAGCTGACCCCAGCAATACTTATGGGGATCTGTACCAGAGTGTTACTACTTCATGTGTATATACTCTAATAGGTATTCCAAAACCTCTGGCAAGGCCAAAATCAGCCAGTTTAATTGTTCCTTTGTCATCAATCAATAGATTTTGAGGTTTTAAGTCTCTATGAAGAACTCTTCTAGAGTGACAAAACACAGTCCCCTGTAGGATTTGGTATAAATAACTCTTAACAAGTGAAGAGTCCATGAACTGACCAGGAGGGATAGAATCCAAATATTTCTTGAGGTCCATGGAAAGAAATTCAAAGATGAGATATAACCTGGAATCCTGCATAAGCACATCTTGAAGACTGACTATATTTGGATGACGAAGTTCTTTTAATAGAGAAATTTCCCGAATTGCAGTACTAGGAACCCCTTCCTCTTCACTTTCTAGTCTGATTTTCTTCATGGCTACCACTTGGCCTGTAGTTTTGTGTCTACCCTTATACACAACTCCATAGGTACCTTCTCCAATTTTCCCTATTTTGGTATAATCTTCCATAGTTAATCAATAGGTATGGCAGATCCTGGCTTATTATCCCGCAACGGCAACAGTGGCAGCTACCACGTCACCGTCGCTTCTCTCTCTGTAGTCCTTTTTGACTGGCTTCTTTTACTTAGCATAATGTTTTCAAGGTTCATCCACGTTGAAGCATGCGTCAGTAATTCATTCCTTTTGTTGCCAAATAATATTTCATTGTGTGGATGTACCACATTATCCATTCATCAGCTGATGGACATTTGGGTTGTTTTTACCTTTTGGCTATTACGAGTGCTACTGCTGTGAACTTTCATGTACAAGTTTTTATGTGAACATATGTTTTCATATCTTTTAGGAATAAACCCAAGAATTTCTGGGTGATATGATAAATCTGTGTTTAACCTTTTGAAGAACTGCCAACCTGTTTTCTGAAGCAATTGCTCCATTTTAGATTCCCAGCAACAGTATGTGAGGGTTCCAATTTCTCCACATTCTCTCCAACACTGTATTGTCTATCTGATTTTAGCCATGCTAGTTGATATGAAGGGATATTTCATTATGGTTTTTATTTGTATTTGTCTGAGGACTAATGATGTTGAGCATCTTTTCATGTGCTCATTGGCCATTTGTATATCTTCTTTAGCGAAATGTCTATTCAGATTCTTTTGCCCATTTTTAAAATGACTTATTTTTCCTTTTATTATTGAGGTGTAAACATTCTTTATATATTCCGGGTCCAACTGCCTTACCAGATATATATGACTTGCAAATCTTTTTTTCCAAAATGGTCTTTTAATGTTATCCTTAGAATTCAGAAAAAAGACATTTTTAAATTTTTTTATTTTTTATTTTTGATGCAGAGTCTCACTCTGTTGTCTGGGCTAGAGTGTCGTGGCATCACAGCAACCTCAAACTCCTGGGCTCAGACGATCCTCCTGCCTCAGCCTCCCAAGTAGCTGGGTGTACAGGCATGTGCTACCATGCCAGGCTAATTTTTTCTACATATTTTAAGTTGTCCAGATAATTTCTTTCTAATTTTTTTTTTTAGTAGAGACGGGGTCTCACTCTTGCTCAGGCTGGTTTTGAATTCCTGAGCTCAAACGATCCGCCCACCTCTGCCTCCCAGAGTGCTAGGATTACAGGTATGAGCCTGTATGAGCACCTGGCCAGAATAAAGACTTTTAAGAATACATTTAGAGACACTTGACTTTGATAAATATTGGACTGTTACTCAGCTAGAAGGGAAAGGACAGGCCTCACTTGTCAGCCTGATGACAGCTACAGGAAGGGGCAGTTAAGTAATTGATGTTTTTTAGGCGACCAGTGTTAGAGCCTGATCCTTCATTCTGTCATTGTTTCTTCTTCTCTAGCCTCTTAGCACTTTTGCTCTTTGTTAGTTGTTATCACTTCTGACTTCCTTTTCTGCCTCCCCCTTCTCTTTTACTTAGCTTGGAAGGTAGTAAAATTTTTTGCACAAGTATTGCAGATCTAGGCTGGGCAAGGTGGCTCTCTTCTGTAATCCTTGCCCTCTGAGAGGTGGAGGCAGGAAGATTGCATGACGTCACAAGTTCCAGACCAGCCTGAGTACCATACTGAGTCTCTACTGAAAATAGAAAAAATTAGCTGGGCATGGTGGTGTGTGTCTGTAGTCCCAGCTACTTGGGAGGCTGAGGCTAGAGGATTGATTGAGTCCAGGAATTTGAGGTTGCAGTGAGCTGTGATGGTGCCACTGAACTCTAGCCCTGGTGACAGAGCAAGAACCTGTCTCAAAAAAAAAAAAAAAAAAAGAAAGAAAGAAAGAAAAAAGGAAAGTATTGTAGCCCCAAGAGATCCAAGGCCATTTGAGATTGAGAATGCTCATCTCCCTGATTGAGTCCTTTGGTTGGTGCCATCCTTGGCTCCAAGCCCTTCTCAATTCATAACCCTTGGTTTTAGCTCATCAAGGAGGAGGACTACCACACCAAAGCACAGAGAATCACAACATACTGTATTTGCCATGGCTTTGAACATGTTCTTTCCTTGTCTAGATCAGTCCATAGGAACTTGCCTTTTATTCATTCTTTGCCTCTCATTCCTTCCTTGAATCTCAAAGGGTATTAAGTGTCCCTCCCCTGTGCTCTGATGCTGTCATATTTATCAAAACATAATGTAGTAGTTTTCATCTCTATCTTGTTGAACTATAATAAATAGCACCTTCTTGCTATGTCCTCACATGGCAGAAGAGGTGAATGAGCTCCGTCAGGCCTCTTTTATAAGGGCACTGATCCCATTTTTGAGAGCAGAGACCTCATGACCTAATTACTTCTCAAAGGCCCACCTCTACTAACTATCGCATCGGGGATTAAGTTTCAACATATGAATTTGGGGTGGAGTGGGGTCCCAAACTTTCAGACCATAGGAAGTTGTTTCCCATTTGGCTCTTACAAACAATGCTGCTATGAACATTCATGTATAAGTGTTTGTGTGGACATACGTTTTCATTTCTTTGGAATGTGGCATAGATCTAGAATTCTTCTCTTTATCTTACACTTTATCTTCAAAAATTGTCATGTTGGACTGCCAGACATGTTTGTAAAATACAAACAGTTTGTAAAATACAAACAGTAATAGTATATACAAAGAAAGGAATACTTAATAACTAAGCAAGAGTTGCAAAATGTATGAAAATTTCATAGTACAATTCACTTTTAACCTACACAGTCCACATTTGTTAATAATTTGTAATATTTGTTAATAATTTGTAATATTAACAATAGCAAAGAGTCAGGGGGTCAGCTCATGAGGTATAAATATTCTCTCATGAGAGTGAAAAATTCCCTCCTATTACAGAGGTAGAACTCTCTGTCCTTGCAGGATTTATGAGCTAAAAAGAACAGCACTGAAATGGCCTGTAGGTGAGAATGCAAGAGGAAGTCATGGTGTGGGTTTGTGTGTATCTTTTTTGTTTTTCTACCAAATATAAGCATAGTTTAAAGACGGTGAATGTACAAGATTCAAACCAATCTCAAAAATTAAGACTGGCCAAATTGGTGCATTAGATTTGTGCTTTAAATCACCCCTTCTGCTCTAAGCCAATAAAGAGAAATATATATTAAAGGAGATATATATATATATATATATATATATATATGTGTGTGTGTATATATATATATATATGTATGTGTATATATATATTAAAAGGATATTCTCACATTTAAAAAAAAAAAACAATAATGAAGACAAACATTCCTGTGTACCTGCTGTGGAACGAAAGTGCAAGGCAGCAATCAGGACCAAAGTGTGGTCCTCCTTCCTCTGCTGAAAGTGTAGGTAGTGGAGCTAGGAGTTGGGGTCCCACAGAGTGGCAGGGCTGGAGGTGTGTTGCACCTGGATCAAGCCAAGGCCATGCTTATTACTTGATGCTGGGGTTGCTACTGGTAGTGAAGATTAATGATACAGTGCCTCTAAAGTGTCTTAGAACTGTGCTTCAAAGGGGCAGGAGGGGGGAAAAGGGAAACACAGAACATTTCATCAGTCCAAGAGAAATCAGAAAAGAGGAGGAAGAAAAAGAAAGAAAAAAGGACTAAAAACATAAAATAAGATGGGAGAACTAAATCCAAAAACATCCGTAACCACATCAGATGAGATTTACCTATTAAGACAGAAGCACAGATTGGATAAAAAGAAATGAAATCCAGCTATATGCTGCTTACAAGAGACATACCAACCATAATACCATTAAAAAATGTTGAAAATGGGCCAGGCGCAGTGGCTCATGCCTGTAATCATAGCACTCTGGGAGGCCGGGGCAGAAGGATTGCTTGCATGCAGGAGTTCAAGACCAGCCTCAGCAAGAGCGAGACCCTATCTCTACTATAAATAGAAAGAAATTAGCCAAACAACTAAAAACAGAAAAAATTAGCTGGGCATGGTGACACGTCCCTGTAGTCCCAGCTACCCAGGAGGTTGAGGCAGGAGGATCGCTTGAGCCCAGGAGTTTGAGGTTGCTGTGAGCCAGGCTGTTGCCACGGCACTCTAGCCCGGGCAACAAAGCGAAACTCTGCCTCAAAAACAAAACAAAACAAAAATGTTGAAAATGAAGAAAAAGGTTAAAAGGCAGCTTTTATAGCAACATTAATATCAGGCAAAATAGAATTTAAGGCAAAAATATTAGAAAGGATAAAGATGGGCATAATAAAAAGGAGTCAAAATTGATAAAATGATAAGAAATAATTTGACAAATCCATAATCAAAATGGGGCTTTGTAAACATATCTATTAGAAATTGATCAAACAGGCAAAATAAAAATATGGAAGATTAGAACAGCACTATTAACAAAGTTTATTAAGTATAGTTGACCCTTGAACAACGAGGGTTTAGGGGCACTGATCCCCCCCCATGCAGTTGAAAATTAATGTATCACTTTTTTTTTTTTTTTTTTTTGAGACAGAGTCTCGCTTTGTTGCCCAGGCTAGAGTGAGTGCCGTGGCGTCAGCCTAGCTCACAGCAACCTCAAACTCCTGGGCTCGAGCAATCCTACTGCCTCAGCCTCCCGAGTAGCTGGGACTACAGGCATGAGCCACCATGCCTGGCTAATTTTTTTTTTTTTATATATATATCAGTTGGCCAATTAATTTCTTTCTATTTATAGTAGAGACGGGGTCTCGCTCTTGCTCAGGCTGGTTTTGAACTCCTGACCTTGAGCAATCCGCCCGCCTCGGCCTCCCAAGAGCTAGGATTACAGGCGTGAGCCACTGCGCCCGACCTAATGTATCACTTTTGACTCCCCTGAAACTTAAGTACTGATAGCCTACTGTTGACCAGAAGCCTACTGATAAGATGAATAGTCAATTAATACATATTTTTTATGTTATATGTGTTATTATATACTGTATTCTTACAATAAAGTAAGCTAGAGAAAAGAATATTGTTAAGAAAATAAGAGAAAATATGTATTAAATGAAAGTGGATTATCATAAAGGTCTTCATCCTTGTCATCTTCATGTTGAATAGGCTGAGGAGAAGAAAGAGGAGGGGTTGGTCTTGCTGTTCCGGGTGGCAGAGGTGGAAGGAAATCTGCGTATAAATTGACCCATGCAGTTCAAACCCGTGTTGTTCTAGGGTCAGGTGTATACAGTATACCAGCCATAGTTATGTAACATGTTCACATTAGGGAAATGTGGGTGAAGGATATACAGGAACTCTTTGTACTAGCTTGGCAACTTCTGTAAATCTCAAATTATTCCAAAATGTTATAGAACAATTATTTCTTAAAAGATAATACACACATGTAAAACAAAACATCTATGAAGTTCAGAGGAATAAATTAAGATGTGGAAGACCTCTATGGTGAGACTTTTGAAAACATTGAAGAACACAAGGTGCATGACAGAAATGAAGACAGTGATGTTCATGGACTGGAAAACTCAGTATCACAAAGATGTCAGGTCTCCCCAAATTTATTAATAGATAAATTACGATGGTTCAAAGGACCAAGAAATAACAAGACAATTTTGAAACAAAGCCATTTGAAGGAAATTGACTTACCAGGTAGCAAGACTTACTTTAAATTGGTAGTAATTAAGACTGTGGTATTGGCACAGAAATGGGTGGGTAGCCAATAGAAGAGACAGCTAGGAAAAATCGTACTCACATATGACATCCCGATACATATCAGAGGTGGCATTTACTTGTCCATGGGGAAAGGATAAACTGTTCAATGATACTGGGACAATTATTATTCAAGTAGGAAGCAATAAAATTAGATCTTTATGCCATGTACAGAAATAAATTCTGTAAAGACAACGAAAAATGGTACCTTAAAATTTGGAGAGACAATATAAGAGAATATCTTTTTGACCTTGGAGTACCGAAGGGTTTATTGTACAAAAAGCTCAAACTAAAATTGGAAAGGATTGATAACTGCCTGCATTTACATTTTTAAAACTTCTGTACAAAAAAAAATGATACCAACAAAATTAAAAGATAAGACTATTTTCAATGTGTGTAACCAACTCAGAATTAGTATCCAGAATATAAGAAACTCCTTCAAATACCTAGGAAAGAGGCAAACAACCCAGATTTTTTTATAATGGGCATAATACTTGAGTTAGTTCACACAGAAAAGGAAAATGGATTATAAACATAAAAGTGGTACTTTTAACTATGTTAGTGCTCTTCTCAAGTAATTGGTAAAGAGATATTGTAAGCTTTGCTATTTTAAAAAAATATTTTAAATACATTTAATCCTATAAGATTTAATTTTTATTATTAACTGTGCGCTGGCAAACATTTACGATAATGGTTTCCTGAGTTACCAGGAAGTGCCCCGTCCGGCCTTTGTACATTTGATTGCCACATGTAACATTTCCAGGAACAACATGGCTTGATCAGTTGTTATGTTTCTTTTAAGAATGACAGATACGCTGCTTTGTGATAAATATAAATATAAGGGCATGTTTTCACTGTTCTGTACTTAATGTTGGAAAATTACTTTTATGGATACTTCTTACATTTATATGTTGCTTAAATGATTTCTCATTCATATTCCTGCTTTTATTCATTACAGTTAAAGTTTGAAATTCTCTGAATTTTAATATTTAGATATATGTTTCCATGTGTACATTTATTAAAAGTTTTTTATAATTTTTTTAAACTTTTGGTTGGATTCATTTTGTTTTTAGAGTCAGTAAGATGTGGTCTTTTTCCTAGAGCGTCCCATACCCTTTGATCATATGATGTATGAACATCTGCAGAAGTGGGGGCCACGTAGGGAAGAAGTGAAATTTTTCCTTCGACATGAGGACTCGCCAACAGAGAGCAGTGAGCAAGGTAGATAAATGCTTCTTTATTTGTTAATTTTTACTGTAAAAGTTAATTTAAGAAAAATAGGAACAAATACTCAAATAAATTATTTGCACTTTTCTCCCCTTTCACTCACAAGTAGCAAGCAGGAGAGTCAGTATCTCATGTTTCTTTGGCTTCTGTTTTCGCAGTTTATGGTTGTGTTATACTCCTTAGGCACCAGCTAGCGCTTCCTTCTTAGGACCTTCAGTTGGTCAGATAATGTATTCAGACATACAAAAGGACTTGCTGTTTAGAGGGGTTGTTTTTGGTAAACACCAGATGGGTCAAATATCTAGATTTTAAAAATATATGAAGCCATAAAAGGATTAGAAAAAAGTTCTGAGAAATATTCTTTTTATTTTAGAGTGGACAAGGCCTTTTTAAGTGTAATACTAAACCATAAAAGACAAGACTGATAAATAAATTATTTAAAACAAAAAAAAAGATTGCATATTGCAATAGCCATCCTAAGCGAAGTCAAAAGACAAATTATAAACTTGGAAACAGCATTTATAACTCATAGCGTAGAAGTAGAGTAATGAGAAAATAATACAGTTCACAGAAAAGGAAATGTCCATGGTCCTGGGATATATGAAAAGATATGTAGCCTTACTCCTCATAAAAGAAGTGCAAGAAAACGACACTGAGACACTATTTACCTGTTGTGTTGACGAAGATTGGAGCATTGAATGGCACAGTGTTGACAGGGATGCTGAGAAACAGGCGCTCTTCTGCATTGCTGCGGGAGTCCATTGGTAACTTCTGTAGACAGCAGTTTAGCAAACTCATAAAAGCATAAAACCTTTCACCCAGCAAATCACTACTGAGAATTAAACCAAAGCTGCACCTGGACACACACGAAATAATACATACACAGTGTTACTCCTTGAGCATTGCTGGTAGGAACAATGTAAATGCCCACCAGGGAGTCAGTCGAGCTAAGTAAATGATGGTCCATCCACTCGGTGGATGCTCTGTAGCCATAACTATCGAAGAAACTCTGTACCTTGACCCAGACCATCTCCCAGACACCTTAAGTGAGTAAAGCATGGTGAAAAGAAGGTGCACTTTGTACTACCTATTGTGTAAAAGTAACCAAAGAGTAATTAGGTATGTATATATCTGCTTGTATATGTATATATAAAATATCACTGGAAGGATATATAGGAAACTAGTAATGTTGTTAGCCTGAGGGAAGGGAAGAGTGGCTGAAGAACAGAGAAGAGGGTTATTGGTTGTATACCTTTTTGTTCCTTTTGAAGTTTGAACCATGGTAATATATTAATTCTTTCAATTAAAATTTAAAGAAAAAAGGAAATCTTTTTTTCTGAACATACATATACACTATACAGTTAAGAGGTCTTTAACTTGTTATTTAACTGATTATGGGTTACTTCTGTTATTTAAAAAAAACTACAAACAAAAGGACATCCTTTTGTAAAAAGATTTCTTCTTTTGTATTTTTTTGAGACAGAGTCTTGCTCTGTCACCTGGGCTAGAGTACCTTGGCGTCAGCCTAGCTCACAGTAACCTCAAACTCCTGTGCTCAGGCAATTCTCCTGCCTCAGCCTCCTGAGTAGCTGGGACTACAGGCATGTACCACTATGCCTGGCTAATTTTTTCTATACATATTTTTAGTTGCCCAGCTAATTTCTTTCTAATTTTTTTTAGTAGAGACGGGGTCTCGCTCTTGCTCAGGCTGGTCTCGAACTCCTGAGCTCAAAGGATCCTCCCGCCTCAGCCTCTCAGAGTGCTAGGATTACAGGCATGAGCCACCGTGCCCAGCCAAAAAGATTTCTTTATTGCAAATCACCCCCCTTTATTTGTATTTTATAGTAAAGGAAATTTTGTCCCTTCGTGGAGCTACTGCTTTAAAATCATCTTTCCATAGTTGTAAATATCATTATAATGCTTTCTTTTAGAATACACCATTACATTTGGGTTTTATTCCACTGGTCCTGGTCATCTGGAACCTAGGCACCAAGGATCTGGACTCAGCTCTTCGTCCACTTTTACCTTAGACAAGGGCCCTTAACTCTGGGAAAATCCCCCTGAGGAGGAGGATTAGACTGACTCTTAAGTGCTGTTCTAATACTAAGGATTTATTTTAACCCTAAGCTCTCCAACTATAACTATAGCTATACTTCAATACCTCGCTATACTTAAATGAAAAGTCTTACCTTTTACTTTTGTTGCTGTAATATGTATCCATAACCCTTAATTTCCTGGAGAGAGGGGTTATTTTTTTCTCACTTGATACAGTTTAGGAATGTTAGGGATCCTTAGAGACCCATTTAGAGTCATAAGGAAGGTGACAGCGCTGGCTGTCAGGTTGGCTGTTGTGTTGTAGCAGCACAGGAGCACACGTGAGCCAGCGGCAGCTGTGTGGTGCAGAGGAGATGCCATCAGAGCACAGCATATCACAGCACTGGGAAGAGTCCTGGCCGAGATGGGGCTTGGAGTGGACTTTGAGGAAGAGTAGGGTTGGGAGGGGAGGATACAGAGCAGGTGCACTCCAGGAGGGGATTAAAATGTGAAGGACACTCCAAGGGGACGGTGGGGTGTGGGATGATAGGAGATTTGGTCAGGATGGGAAGAACCAAGTTCATCACACAATTTTCATTACTATTCAGAACTTTCAGCAGAGGCCTGCTTCTCTATTCAACTGTCCCAGATTAGCTTTGATGGCATTTGTAATGTGACTCTCTTTCTTCAATCTCAGTGTCTCTTCTTTCTTTCTTCCAGCCAGCCACATTCTTTCTTGCACATTCATTCTGTCTTTTGTTCCCCAACTCAGTAATATCCACCGTGCACCTGTAATGCTCTCCCCTATGCTCCTTATCCTCTGCCTGTGTCTCTGAGCTGAAGAAAATGGTGGCATAGAGAACCACTCACATGAGCACTCTAACCCCTCATTTTGTTTTGCTTTTGCTCACTTCTCCCTTCAGCTTATTTATATTCTAAGGAGCCAGAGTTTAGAGCCCAAGATTCATGTTTTTTGCTCAGGGCAATGCAGTTGTCACCAGTTGATATTATTTAAAGGAGATTACATGAGTATTTATTGTATGTAGGCCATAAGACATAACGAGATGAAGTAAAAGACATCCCTCAACTGCAAGGGTGAGAGCTCTCTGTTTGGAAGCCGGAGCAGAATGTAAAGGGCGCAGTCCTTCAGTTCCCTTTTGCACTTATGAAAACAGAAGCTCACAGCAGCAGAGAAACTCAGTGAAGATCATATAACCAGCTAACTGCAGAGCGTGAACTGGAACCCGGGAGCTGGTGTGACAGAATTGGGTGCAAGACCACCTGGGTTCAGTCCTGGACCTACTTGTTTACTTAGGGTGGGGTCTTGGCAGGTGACTTCACTTCCTTGTGCCTCAGTTTCCTTGTCTGCAGGTTAATGAGATGTACTTGGGAAGTGCTTAGAAGGGGTTTGGTGCATAGTAAGTCTTCACTAAATGTTAGTTTATTATTCCTTATTTTCTGACTCTGAAATGCCAGATCATCAGGTTTCTTCTTCACCATCAAAGATTAGGTGGCACTTGGTATAATTTTAATGTTGTGTGTTTATACTATTCTAATTTCTGATAGTTTGTTGTTTGGAAGAGGTAGCAGTTGAAGAATATTAAATTAACCTGAATACCTTACTCCTTACAAATGCTAAAAATAACCAAGAGTTTAATGTACCCTGTGAACTGATAGATACCATAGGCTTCATAATGCCTTTTGCATCATTGCCCCTTAAGTAGCCTTTTTTGGACATTTCATTCTTGTCCCCCATTCTCCTATCATCAGATATACTGCATATCTGTTTATAATATATCTTTGTTTTATACATAAAAAGAGTAATTTCTTTTATTCCCCTAAGAACCAAGTTTTGTCCCTTTGGGAACAGCAATGTTACTTCCTAGAGAATGCATGGTTTAAAGTGAAGAAATACTTACATGATATAATTTTCTTCAATGTTTTCAACATAGTAGGAAAGGAATAGAAGAAGAAAATATTTTTCTTTTCTTTAAAAAAAACAAAACATTAAGTTCACAACCCTTCGAAGCCTTGCATGCTAGCAGAGTAAAGTGGGCTCTGAGGTGCGATGATTTCCAGACAGCATCAGGTGAGAGCCGGGGCAGGGGACGTGGCAGGAGCAGGCACACAGCACTTCATGGACTTGAGTTTGCTTCACCTCAGTAGCCTGCCACAGAGTTGTTCATCACACTCTATTTTGTTTAAAAACTATGACAGGACATAGAATGTAAGTTTGATCCTTTCATTTCTTTAGGTGGCCGTCAGACCCAAGAGCAACGAACTCAGAGAAATGTAATAAATGTACCTGGAGAAAAACGCACTGAAAATGGAGTAAGTAATAGTGAATTAAATTGAATTTTTAAAATTATTTTTTATAGGTACTAATAAGTTTGGGTTAGAATTTATTTTTAAACAATTTTGTTTTCAGGATAGAAATTGTCATTTCTTATTGAATATTTCAAAACATTATATGAAGGCCAGGCGTGGTGGCTCATGCCTGTAATCCTAGCACTCTGGGAGGCCGAGGCGGGTGGATCCTTTGAGCTCAGGAGTTCAAGACCAGCCTGAGCAAGAGCGAGACCCCGTCTCTACTACAAAAATAGAAAGAAATTAGCTGAACAACTAAAAAAAAAAAAATATATATATATAAATTATCCAGGCATGATGGCGCATGCCTGTAGTCCCAGCTACTCGGAAGGCTGAGGCAGGAGGATTGCTTGAGCTCAGGAGTTTGAGGTTGCTGTGAACTAGGCTGATGCCACGGCACTCTAGCCCAGGCAACAGAGTGAGACTCTGTCTCAAAAAAAAAAAAAAAAAAAGAAAACATACGAAGTTATAAAGAAGTAGTCCACCAAGTGATTTTCCCATTCACACTGTGGTCCATGAAACAGATCAATTCTCCCAGGGCAGCCCAGCACCCTCCTTCACTGCTGCTGCCCATTGGTGCTCCTGGGCAGGTAGTCGGGTGCCTCTAGAAGCAGAGGGGCTCAGCCTCTAGACTAAGAGTTGAGCAGGCAGACTTGCTGTGTGTCTTCATTGTTGATTCTGGATCCTATGTCAGGTTTTGAAAGATAAAATGGATGGTAGGTTGCAGTAACTTGCTTTGTCACTGTGATACAGACTTGGCAAGTAGGGGAAACACTGATCATAGGTGAGGGAGAATTGGAGGGGTTTTTTGTAATAAATGTTAGTGTGTAGATTATATTTTCTTCTGTTTGGTTTCAATATCATGGTGAGCCACCATGCCTGGCCTGTTTTTGTTCTTGTTAGTCCTGCTTTTATGATATTATATTATTTGATGTTAAAAATCTCTTTACTGTCATTTACTGGAGTTTTGCGATTTAATGACATTAGGATTAAATAATTCTCCATTTTGAGCAGAACCAGGTGTGAATGTCTTTTAACTTCTCTGTTGAGCTTTATTGAACTTACTGATTCTGAGCCTTGGCATCTATCATCAATTCTGGAACATTCTCTACTGTTATCTCTGTGGGTATTTCATCTTATGCCTTCTTTCTGTTTTCTTCTTTTAGAACTCTGAGTAGACATCCATCTTTCATTTTATTCTCCTCATCTCTTAATTTCTTTTTCATATTTTATCTCTTTGTACTGTGTTCTGGATACTTTCCTAGGGTATATCTTTCAGTTAATGAATCCTATCTTCAGCTGTGTATGTTTGGCTATTTACTACATATAAGATGCTTTTAATATTATTTATTTTGGAAAGACCAGACATAATCTTGGAGAAAATAACTTGCACATCATATGCATGATAAAGGACTTATACCCAGAATATATAAAGAATTCTCAAAACTCAATAATAAGAAAACAACCCAATTTTAAAAGAAATGGGCAAGAGGTTTGCTTTGGAAAAAACACATTCCAAACTGTGCTCTCCTCTAAACTCCTTAACAATCAACAACACGGGCCCCACGTGGTGGCTCACGCCTGTAATCCTAGTGCTCTGGGAGGCCGAGGCGGGCAGATTGCTCGAGGTCAGGAGTTCAAAACCAGCCTGAGCAAGAGCGAGACCCCGTCTCTACTATAAATAGAAAGAAATTAATTGGCCAACTAATGTATATAGAAAAAATTAGCTGGGCATGGTGTGGCGCATGCCTGTAGTCCCACCTACTTGGGAGACTGAGGCAGCAGGATTGGTTGAGTCCAGGAGTTTGAGGTTGCTGTGAGCTAGGCTGACGCCACGGCATTCACTCTAGCCTGGGCAACAAAGCAAGACTCTGTCTCAAAAAAAACAACAACAACAAAAAACCAATCAACAACACAGAAGAAGATTTCTGTGACCAAATTTGGAGTTTTCCCCACACACACCAAGCAGTGGACATCAGCTGGGTATCATCTAATACAATTTGACTCTATCCACCTGGAGACAGTGTCAGATCCCACAGAGTGAGGGCTCAATCCCCAAAACTGCCCCTCTCTCCACCAGTCAAAAGTCTGGGCCTGTGGAGCTTCTGACTGACCAGCTTCAACTTGCAGTTGAAGCGACCCCCACCCTCTTTGGGTTGGATTTAATTTGCTGGAATGGCTCACAGAACTCATAGAAACACATTTACCAGTTTATTATAAAAGTTATTACAAAGGATACAGATAAAGAGATGCATAAAGCGAAGTATGAGGGAAGGGACACAGAGCATCTATGCCCTCCCTGGTGTGCTACCCTCTAGGAACCTCCATGTGTTTGGCTATCCAGAAGCTCTCCCAACCCAGTCCCCTTGGGTTTTTATGAAGGCTGCATCACATAGGCATTAACAACCGTGTAGAAATGTGATATGACAAAAAGCACAAGATCTAAGTCCAGCAAGGCCTGTCTAGGTTCTTCATGGTCTCTCTGTGCAGCATTCCTTTCTCCAGGGAATGGGGCAGGACTCTCTCTGGAATGAGGGTCTTTTGACCCACACACAATTAGGTTAAAGCCTTGCCTTGAGCAGGTAAAAGGAGGACAGGAGAAGGTCAGAAAGAGAGTTTCTATCTCCTGAGGCCTAAAGCATCCCAACATTATAACAAGGACTGTGGGAGTATGAGCCAGGAACCATGGATGAAAACCAGTACCGTAACAACACAGAATTGAACAGACACTTCTCCAGAGAAGATGTATGAATGTCATGTAAGCACATGGAAAGGTGTTGAATATCATTAGTCATTTAGGAAAGGACAAATTAAAACTACAATGAAATACTAATACATACCTATTAGAATGTCTAACATTAAAAAGATTGATCATAACAAGTGCTGGTTAGGAAGGGAGGAGTTGGAACTCTCATGCATTGCTGGTGGGAATATAAAATGGTATAATCTGGAAAACAATTCAGCAGTTCCTTTAAAACTTAAATTTAAGGCCGGGCACAGTAGCTCACACCTGTAATCCTAGCACTCTGGGAGGCCAAGGTGGGCAAATCGCTTAAGGTCAGGAGTTTGAGACCAGCTTGAGCAAGAGCGAGACCCCATCCCTACTAAAAATAGAAATTAATTAGCCAACTAAAAATATATATAAAAAATTAGCCAGGCATGGTGGCGCATGCCTGCAGTCCCAGCTGCTCGAGAGGCTGAGGCAGAAGGATTGCTTGAGTCCAGGAGTTGGAGGTTGCTGTGAGCTGGGCTGACTCCACAGCACTCTAGCCTGGGCAACAGAGTGAGACTCTGTCTCAAAAAAAAAACCACCCATAAACATAGATGTATGTTAAGGTCATAGTTGTATGACCCAGCAGTTCTATTCCTAAGTATCTACCCAAGAGAAATGAAAACAAATGTCTGTACAAACGTGTACATGAATGCTAATAGCAGATATCCATTAACAGGTGAATAGACAGACTGTGATATATTCATACCATGGAGTATTACTGAACAATTAAAAGGAATGGACTACTGATACATGCTACAACATGAAAGAATCTCAAAACCATTGTGCTAAAAGAAAGAAGCCAGACAAAGGAGTACATACTAAATACTGTGTGATTCCATTTATGTAAAATTCTAAAAAACATAAACCAATCTCTAGTAAGAGAAGATCAGTGGTTACCTGTGGACCTGGGAGGTAGGAGAGGAGGAGAAGTGGTGGGAGGGACAGATTACAAAGGGGCATGAGGAAATTTTGGGGGGTGATGGATTTATTTATTTTCTTGCTTGTGGTGATGATTTCATGGTTTATACATTTGTCAAAATATACAGATTGTGTACATTATTTTCTTCTTCAGTTTTATTTTTTAAATTTTTGTAGAGATGAGATCTTGCTGTATTGCCCAGGCTGGTCTTAAACTCCTGGCCTCAATTGATCCTCCTGCATTGGCCTCCCAAAGTGCTGGGATTATAGGTGTGAGCCACCATGCCTGGCCTGCATACTTAAGATATGTGCAGTTTATTATATGTCAATTATACTTCAATAAAGCTATTTTAAAATTTGTTAAAATTTTCAGTTCTATAAGTTTTAGTTCTTTCTCAAATCTTGGTTGATCTTTGCTCATTTTAAACACACTAAACACTGTTATTTTATATTCTATAATAATTTCTCTATCTGAATATATTGCTTCTGCTGGGTTTTAATCATGGTGCCTTGATTATTGTTTGTATTGATTTTTGACAATGAACTGCTCCTTTTCCTTGGGGCTTTACCTCTGAGCATTCTTTGAGGCCTGGATAAAAGTAGAATTTTTCCGAAAGGTTTCCATTTGCTTTAGTTGGTAACTGGGTAAAAGATACCTGCTCTCCACTGTCCTTTGTGGATCATGAAGCTGTGTGAGGGCTGTCTAGTGGTTACAGACTCTTAGAGGTCCCTTCTTCCACTTAGCAACATGATGGGAAAAGGCAGGTTTCACTGTTGCCCTTTCTACATGTGCATGGATGTGTTTCTTTTTCACTCACATTGAGGTGGTAGGTCTTTGGGGTTCTGGATGTGTATGTGCATCTCCTGTTGGACTCTCCACATTAGGATGGTCCCAAGTCTTTATCTCCTAATGCTGGACTTGAGCAGTTGCCAGAAGCAAGCCTTCAGGTAGGCAAAACATTCAGGGCAGAAACCAGCTTCAGTGTTCCTTTATTGCCCAAGGTTTGTGCTTTCTCTTTATTTTTGGTCACCGTAGCTTCCTTACTGTGTTGTACCAGCTCAGCAATGCTTTTAAAAATAGTTTTTGTGTTTTATCTTTTTACATGTTACCAGGAGAGTGGTTCGCAGTGTCCTGCCAGCCGTGCTATTGGAAATAAAGCAGTTCCCACGGTGTTGGCTTGTAGCTCTCGTGGCATGGAATGTGTTTTTTCTTACTGTTATTTGTGCACTTTGGTAGCCCTGTTTTTCTGCCAGTCTTCCTAGCCCTAATTGT